ATTCTTTTTTTTTTTTTTGGTACCAGGGATCGAACTCAGGACCTTGAGCTTTCGAGGCAGGTGGCAGAACCACTGAGCTAAATCCCCAGCCCCACTCTTATATTCTTAAATGTAATGTTTTTGCTATGAGTTGGGTACCCTGCTGCTTCCTGGGAATATGAAATTAAGAACCCTTAGTTTTTGGCTTCCAGGGTTTGTCATCCTATTTACTCAATGGGATAATAAATTCTTTGAAGCAAATGCCTATATCTTTACTTGAAATCTTACAGTCATAAAAGCTTAGAGTCAAAAAGTACCTTAGAAATAATACTTTATGCCAACCTGCATATACCAAGCTCTTGCCACATGACCATGAGTCAAGATGGTGCACTGATCACATCAGTTGCTTCTGCCCTCCTATGCTTACATCCCTTACAGTGACATCCATTCACAACTACAGTTTTAATTTGCTCATTACAGATTGTATACACATAGTGAAATGTCACACTGTATCCCATAAATATGTTTAATTTTTAAGATGCCAGGCACTACTGTACAAATTTTACACAGATATACTGAAGCCCCATCATAGTCCTGTGAGGCAGGTACTATTGTTATCCTCACCTGATAGAAGAGGAAACAAAGGCACAGAAAGGTTACAATCTCTCCAGTTGAACCACTGGTGGAGCAGTCCTGCTTCAGCGTCTCCCTGGTGAGCTACTTTTCATCACTGTCCTGCTCTCCTGCTGTAGGTGTAAAGAGTGTGGGAGGCAAACCTGTGTGCCACAACTAAACTGAAACTCAACTAGCTGTATTTTAAGTAATGAAATATCTGAGAATTCCTTCTTGAGTGAATGATGATTAGGAGGGCTCAAGCACCCTATCTAGATTTTCTTTCTCTTTGTACTAACATTCACATGCTTTTGTGAAAGTTCACCATGTTATATGTCCAACTGAGTTGTCCCATTAGGTTCTGTTTCACATATTTAAAATATTTAACAAGGTAAAAATGTTTTGAATTACATTATATGGGAAATTAATGGACCATGATCAAAGATAACTGCAGCGTTGCAGTGTTCTCCTAGAATTGGCGGGAGTTCTGACTATGATGTCTCCTGGCTTGTTGTATCAGGTGTTTGATGGCTGCCTGTCCCCTAGTCTCCAAACCAGCTAATAAAAATCCACAAAGTTCATAACCTCTCCACTAGAAGGATTCTGTCTTATTTATTTATTTTTCTTTCTTTTTTTATCACTGAAAAACAGGGAAAAGACTTTCAGCAGAATTCCTTATATTATGGTTAAATGTCACCGTCATCTGGCCTTCTGATTAGTAGAGATAAAGTTTAGAGAGGCACACAAATGTTTATAAAGTTCTATGAGACTTCTAAACTTGTTTATTTTCTCTAGGAGTAAATAAAAAACAAAAATGAGGAGGTCAGGTATCTTTTTAGGCTTGGCTTGATTTTATATTTTTCCTTCCATTTGAAAGACATGCCCTTATATTGCTGAGTATCTTTTTTCTGATTGTCTCTGTTGTTGCTATTCAGTTGGAAAAACACCTCTATGGACATGAAAGGAATTCAGGTAGAAATAGATAAAATGATGTACATTATAATTATGTCTGGAATATTGAGTTTTCATTAGTTGATATTTTTACTTCCTGGATAGAAAAACAGATATAAAGTCCCAGCACTAGGGAGGTTGTAGCAAGAGGACTGTTTGAGCCTAGAGTTTGAGAACAGCCAGGGCAATATAGCCAAACCAACCCTGCACCTAAAGCAAAACAAAATAAAATGCTTTATATTACTTTTTAAAATTAGTACCAAAGTCAATCTCATTTTTAAAAAAAATTAATCTGTACAATGTTCAATTATGGAACAACAAGAGAAAATTAAAGACTAGGAATCAAAGGCATTGGCATCAAATCATAGGTCAGTCATTGATTAGCCAAGCCATTTGTCCTCTCTGAACTTCTGTTCCTTTTCTTATAAAATGATGGTAGTATGCTTTCCAGAGGAATCCATGAACAAATGAAATATCTTGCCTGTCTCTCTTTATCAGATGGTGCATCACTTGCCTACCTCTCCCGTGCATCTGCAGATTTGTGTGATAGTTCCAGAGTGCCACATAAAGAAGCGAGGTGGTTTCACAACTTTACATAGTTAAAAGACAGCTGTACTAGTTGGTGGTCCAATTCCTACACCAGTCCTGGAAGCCATTTGCTTTCATCTGGTAACTGGCTACCATGGTGGTAACAGATGACTTTTAAACAGCTGTCAGAAGCTGAAAACAAAATGAAACAAAAAAGCCACCCTCTCACACTATGTTCAGACAGCTTGCCAGTAGCTGAATTGAATCCTTCTTGGAACGTTTTACCAAACTTTTTTGTTGGTTGTTTTTACACAGAAACATAAAACTCAGACAAGCTGGCTTCATGTGTCCCATAGACTTAACTCCCTAAGTTTTCTAATGGGATCACAACAATTACTAGTTTCCAGATGCATTTAAAATGTGTCAATTGCCTGCAGGAGTTGGCTTTTAAAATATACACAAGTCTTCTTCGTCAGCCTCATGTCTCCACTATAAACCTCCTGAGGTACTATGCTGTCTGTGTAATGTCTGAGCACTGTTTGGTACTTAAATTCCAATTAATATTAAATAGAAAAAATAGGAAATAAAAGTTCTGTGTCTTAAGCATAGTTTCCCCCCTTTGGTTTTCTTTTAATTGTTATAATGTCCTGTTATTCTGAAAAATCATAGAAATAATTACTAATTTCCACTGGAGAAAAATCTGGGATAAATAGCTTTCTGAGAAAGAGTATCTTGCTGTTATTGGGTTATTACACAGTCCTTGGAGCTCATTGCTGGACTGTGGCTAATTGAGCTACAAACATGTCAGTCTTCCAACTTTAACAATTTATTCCTTGTATGTTGGAATGTCCAGCTTTCTTCCACGTGCTTCTGGATAATTTCTCCCTGTCACAAGAATCATCCTTACCTAGAAGCCTGAACCTATGTTTATATCCAGTGTTCTAACTTTGAAACTAGGCAGAAGGCAAGTTTGTGGTCTGTCTTCTCATAACTGGCAGGGATGAAAAAAAGACATGAGAATAAAAACATGACTTTTGATGAAAAATCCATTTAGCAGGTGCTTTTCTCCTTAGCTGACTGACACAGTGATCATCCCTTGAGACACGTCTGAACCTAGTGTCCTTTATATATTTTTTTTTCTTTTAGATTCCATGTGGAAGGCTCATAAACAAAAAAGAGAAACACAACCAGAAATTGGTAATGTTCACCAATCAGTCTGAAGATTCTGAAAGGTAATAACAGCATTTTAGATATTATGTGGCTCAAATGGTAACATGCTAATTAGAGCACTTCTGCTGCCAAAGAAGGTGAGTCTATTCAGAGTAGAAGGCAACCTCTCTGGATGGACTCATACAGTAGATAAGAAAAAAGATAGCGGTACCAGTGTGGACTGTTTGAACACATTTGCTTTCATAGCTCTCCAAGGGGCAAGAATCATGGTAGGTGATAGAAGTTATTTGATTTTTAAGGTATTTAGTAAATTTCCACTGACAAACTTTGGTATATGGGACAATTTCTCTTCAACTAAACAAATTTGCTTTTAGGAAACAGTTCTATTTCACTAATAAGGAGAAGCAGTACCTTTATTCATCTACTTCTTTAATCCTTAACTCTAGTGTAGGGTGAAGAGTTTACTAATAGCAACAACAACAACAACAAAAATTCATCCTTATGAGGCTGAGGTAGGAGGATCACAAGTTCAAGCCTAATCTGGGCAATTTAATGACTTAAAGAAACTGTCTCAAAATGGTGAAAAAAAAAAAAAAAGGACAGGGGTGTAGCTCAGCGCAGTTTCTAGATCTCCAGTTCTGGGGGAAAAATCCCTTCCTCAGTCACTTTCCTCATTCTATCAACCGTCAACCTTTCAAGGTTTTTCTTAGTTCTCACTCTGTACATTGGCCCAGAAAGTTATCTTTTGACTTGCTATGTGCAAGAGTTATGCAAGCCACTTGCAAAAGATGAATGAGAACAGACCCTCTCTTAAACTACTTGCAGTTTAGACATAAAAAGCCACTCACATACTGAAGTGTAATATATGGCAGAATGCTTTGCCTTATATAAGAGGTACAGATTAACCACTCTGGGAAACCTGAGGAAAATGAGATTTCTAGATATAACAATAGCAATGCAGACAGAAGTATAAGACAAAAGTTCTGTCAGTGAGAAGATAGGGAGAAAGACAGAAAGCATGTTCAAGGCTGAAGGCAGCATGCACAAATGTAGTGTTGGGAATTGGAGCACTCATATTGGGATCAGTAAACCATTCATTTTGCTTCTGCCTCTTATCTGTAATACAAAAGGAAATGGAAACCCCATGTCTTGAGTGAGAGACTAAAGAGCTGAGGATTTATTAGCCAGGCCATAGTTTCTCTGTTGGTAAAGATTCTTTTTTTTTTTTTTTTCAGTAGTACCTTTGAAGTGAAATATAGTTTAAGGAAATTCTAGGACTAGTTCTTAAATCAGTGCTGGTCTCCCATAAGTGTTCTCACATCCTGTGGATACAGGGACATTGTCAAGTTCTCCATCTCTGAGAAGATTTGCATCAGAAAGGCCCAATGTATATGTTTGGTATGAAGATGATGACTATAAATTTTCAACAGGGATTGACAATAGCAATCATGTTTAAAAATGAGTGATGACGGGAAGATTAGAAGCTGGAATACATATAAAAATATTTATCTCTCCCTTTTCTCTGAATCACTGCCACTCATTATCCATAATAAATATTTTAGCCTTTTATTATAGAAAATTTAGCATTTTATTGTGAGCTACTCTTTTTTGGTAATTGTACTGTGTATAAAAGTCTTGCCTCCTCAATAAATTTTATCTACCTCAAGGGAAAGACTCAACATACAGCAGTGGGTTTATAATAAATTCTGATCTACTTCCCATAAATTTGTATCAAATGTTATAAAATAAAAATTTATATCACAGGAGTAATCTGAGGATTAATTAGTTATAAAGACAACCTCTGAAATATTTCAAATATTAAAAACAAAAAAATAAAAGAAAGAAGAACAGAAAGAAAGAGAGGAAGGAAGGGAGGAACAGAGGGAGGAAAACCCCAGTGTTTCTACAAAAAGTAGGGGATAGGCCAGGGATTTAGCTCAGTGGCACCTTGCCTGCCTCACAAGCACAAGGTCCTGAGTTTGATCCCTGGTACAAAAAAAAAAGAAGGTTAGTACCCTTCCCAAAAAGTAGGGCATATTCTCATCCAACACACACCCACAAGTCATTTATATGCATATTAACTTAGAGTCTTTCTATTTACCAATGATGACAATTGCACAGAATTTAGTAGTTAACACTGCTTTATTTTGTTTTGTTTACAGTGGTTACAAATATGTACTTCTGTAGGAGGTAATTTGTGTAGGTAATTTGATAGTAATTTTTAAAATGCAGAAGTCATTTTCAAGCAATCTCTAGAGTGTATGTGATTGGGGGTCCAGAAAGAAGAGTAAAGGTAAGGCATTTGCTGCTTGCTGCTAAGTCTTTGTCTCAGGAGAATAGGAAAGAAAGGAGAGGGATGTGAGCAAAAAGCACAGGAACAGAACTGTGAGCATCTGTGTCACCTTGCCCTCATCTCTCCTGAATTGAGTCCTTTCTAGTGGAACCATCTTAATTTCTGCCAGGGTAAAATGTGCCATCTCTTGAAATATTACATATCATTATAATGGTTCTTATATCAAGCTTCATTTCAAAGGAAAAGTAAAGGGGCAAAGAAAATAACTCTGATTTTCAGCAAGGAAAATTATCAAAATATAATGTTGTATACACTTTCTGTCCCCTTTTCACCTAGCCTCGAAGCATAATGTTTTAAAAGCAGCCCCACTCAACATGTTTCAATCCTGGGCTCAGCTTTTTTTTCACAATGCCAGTTCCTCATTTTAATTTTTGTAAAGCAAATGTAATATTTAGTTTTAGTGTCTTTTTAAAATGGATTATGCATTCAGAATATTAGTTATAACCTAGCAAAGAAGGTTCATTTTAGCCTAAAGTAGGGCTCATCTCAGAAGCATGAAATGAAGTTCTCACGAAGAGCCCTTTTTTGGCATGTTCGCTATAGCAGTCCTTCAGCCTAGAACCTAGTATTAAATATGACCAAATACCAGCTGTTCATCAGTTATGTGTTACTTTCTGGGAAAGATATGTTGGTTTTCAGATGCACTTCAAGAGCTCTTCTGTCTTTCTCCATATTCAAATCATTCAAATATCTGTCCATAAAAACTGGTATACTTTAAGAAAATTAAACAATAGTTTTTGTTTTTGTTTTCCATGTGAATTACCACATTCCCTTCCAGATGTGGTATTTAGCAGCCAAACAGCTGCTGGCTATTAAAAGTCTCATAAAGCTCCTTTTTTCTTTTTTCTTTTTTTTTCCTCATAGAAGAGAAGTGGAGAGGTGTAAGGATGTTTATAGGGTGACAGGCAGATGTTTTAGTTGGAACAGGACAATGTATGTGGTAAGCGAAAACTAAAATCATCTCTTTTATGATATCATCAGCATTTTCACAATACTTTTGGCCTTTTTGTTTTTAACTCCCTTCTTACCTTCCTGGAATTAAACTATACAGGAAAAGCAGAATAACGACCTCTTATAACCTTCCTGTTTACATTGTAGATGTGTTAATTCTGTTATAGACATTTTCACAAAGGTGGACAACCCTGAATATTATTTTCTGTCCATGTTTTGTTAGGTAGAAAAGAATCACTTTTGAAGAGCTGAAGAAGCACTTTTAACCACAAAACATCATAGATCATGTAATAATTTTTTCACAAATTTTACTCATGTATTTATTTGTAATACACATTTGTCAGTTTTTCTGAAATTACATTTCGTCCAACTAACATCAAAATCACATTGATTTTCTGGACATAGGGCTAATTAAATTTCTCTTCTTTCCAAGCTAACAACGTATGTAGCCTTTCAACCATGTGTTTATGTGCAATGTATCAAATGAAATTAACTTTCAGTGAATAGTTAAGTTCACAAAGATTTAAGACAAAGGGACTTGGCAAAACTTGTGATTTCTGCCTGGCTCTATAAAGCACATTTCAGAATAGCCATTTGCATGGGATAAACAACTTTCCATTTTCTGAGTCTTAGCTTCTACAAAATACCCAAGACGTTATCTATAATATGCTTTTTGCTCTGTAATTTATGTTTGCTTAAACTCTTGGATTCTACATGACAATCACTTGGAAAGTTCTTACATGGGCTAGGAAGTATACAGGAGATGTTCAAAAAAATACCAATTTGGAATTTTCCCAAGAATTGACTTATTATTTACCTGTAAAGGACTGGTATTACTTTTCAGTGAGAAAGTTTTGTGTCTGGATACTGGAAGCTGATTAGCTCTGACCTCAGAGGAAATCGCTCAACTTAGAGGAAAGCTGTGGAGGCATGGAGACCGCCTGAAGGTCTACACTAGGCCACAGGCAGCCCACAGACACCATAGAGCCAACTGAATGGGTTGTCTGTTCTTTCTAGGTAGCAACTATAAGAGTCACTCTCTTTTTGTGGAAGGCTTCAGAGTTTATCATGAAGCCATCTCCTCCAACTTGGTAATTAAATACACAGACCTGCCATGGCAGTACACTCAGTTCCTACAGGATGAACTTGAGAAAGTTCATGATGAGAAACATTGCATTAGCAAAATTCAGGTTTTCAGGGCAATATGGAAATACCAAATTCACAATTCTTTCTGTGCTTCTCTGACAGGAAGTTATGTGAATACACTCACTGAAGAAATAATGGGGGGAGTGATGAAGGGATGCAAGTTTGGCAAATTCAATTTACTTTTTGTTTGGATTTTTTCTGTTTTATTCCTTCACAAAAATTGAAATTTTAAATTTGATACTCTCAGTGAATTGGGTTTTTCATCTCTGGTGGGCTTCTGCCTGAGATACATCTCTGTTCAAACATGATATGTCAAAAATTTATTTTAAATACATTTTTATTTCTTGCTTTTAGCAATTTATATCAATTGTTACCTTCTATATTGGCATAAGACTCTAGCTACCCTGTCGTGTTCTGAATATACTGCTATAGTAGATAGTATTATATTTACTAAAATCACTTTAAATCCCTCCTTTTCCCAGCCAACTGAATAAGAGAACCAGTTTTCCATTTTACATCTAGGAAATAATTGTAAGCCAAAATTTTCTGCTTGCCAAACCCAGCCATTCTCATTGTTCTTACCATTAGAGTTCCTTTATTCTCTCTATGCAG